CTCAGAACTCAATTGACCAAATTCCTCTGAAAGTCAACAGAGACAACAGAACACCTTGCAGCAGCACAAGCAGCAGCAAAGGACAAAATGAGAGTCTGGATGGAACTCTTAGCTAGAGCCAACCAGTTGGCAAAACACTCCTCTCATTTCTAGATGCTCTCAGTGAACTAGACTCCATAACTTACAGCTCACATCCTCTTAATTATCATATGGAAGGGTAACAGCTTGAGAACCATGTACTGAGAAGGAAAAGCACCTCCCCAAGTGCAAAATATAGCAGAAATATCATACTTTCAAGTTATCACAAAAATACCCCCTAGAAACATGTTAAATTTATGTCAACTGCAATTTAAAAGGTGGAGCTAGAAACAGAGACTGTTCATCTGGATGAAGAGTATTTCTGCTTAGTAAAGGGCTTTCCAGTAAAATTACATGTTACCATAAGACCAATGCTCCCATACAAAACCAATAAAAACAGCAAATCTTAGATTTAAGGTTCTCTGGATTTTTTTCTTTTTACATGAACTTTTCCTATTGCATTTGCAGGCAGGCATAGCAAATTTAAGGCAACCCCACTGAAGAATTGAGTTTAGGAAAATAATGACAATGAAATCTAAACAAACAAACAAACAAAAAAAAAAACACAACAAAAAAAAACCAAACAACAAACCCACCAGGATCTGGCATATTGTTTTGCAAGACCACAGAAATCCAGTCTTTAAGAAACTCTGCATGCATTCATGATACTGTACCTGTTTAAATCTACGATGTATTTATGTACACTCTGAAAAGCTAGATAAAATCTTGTCAAAATTTCAATGTTGTTTTCACGAAATTCTTCATCTAAATCCAGTAGCTCTGGTTTTGCTTCCAGTTTGCCTTCACATGCCTCAGGCCCCTACAAAAAAGACAATTACATTTAGAGACAACGTTTGACTGTGCCCATAATGCTCTTCACTAGGACACAAAATACACAACTACCAGAAGGACAGTTACAAGAAAACTAACCTTTCCTATTAAAACAAGAACTTGCAGTTTTCCAAACTACTTCATGATTGAAAATGTATTCCATGAGGAATTTTACTTTTTTTTTTTTTTTAAACACAATCAATTTAGATATGATTTCTTCTATGCAGGCAATGGAAAAAGACGATTAACACTTTGGGTAAAACTGATGCATCTGAAGCCATAGTGCAACCACTTTGAAAAGCAGCAGTGCTGCTTTGCTTCTTTAACATTCAAAAATCTTCTGGTTTCCACAACAGTTGTATTTCTTACCAATCATACCTATCTGCTTTTCAGTTTCCGAGTAATTTGTGTAAATAAAAATAATTAAGAAAAAAAAAAATCTAACAAACACATCTAAAGGTATCTGTGAAATCATTTGTGCTTCAAGTTTCCAGCACCTGAGGCTCCCAGTCAGTGCCCAAAGTTTACAGCTCCTATCAGTTCTCCTCCTCCCCAATACTGCTGTACTACTAATATGAATTTCAAATGTACAAACCGGCTAAAATCAAACTACACTGCATCTGCAGCTCCTTCTAAATCATACCGGAGAATGATAGAGGGATTAAGCTCTTTGCAAGATGTAAGGAAAACAAGGACTTTGCATGCTCACTACTCTTTATTTGTTGATTCAGCACACGTGACAATTTCAGTGAGCGAACAATCACAGTACTGTCCAACAGGAAAGCACGAAGCAGCTTTCACAGCTGCAGAGAACAAGCTACAGATAACCAAAGGAACATGGGCATACTGCCCACAGTACTGTTCCAGAAACCCGACCCACTGCACAGGCTCAGAACCTGGTAGTGAAAACAACATTTGAAGTTACTGCAGGAATAACACCCAAGAAGAAAACCCACAACTCAAGTCTTATATGACCAGTGTTTGCCAAAACTCACAGGCCAGATGACTCATCATACATTCTGAAAGACTGTTCTTCTACATACAAACATAAAATTCCCTTCTAGTACTAAAACTCTATGCAGCATGGCTACTGGTTATTACTTCTATTCTGCCCAGGTGCCTGTGAACAGAGCACGCACCAGACTCCTTCTGCTCAATGAAATTGAGTAAGATGAGGCTAAGTATGATCAAAACTATACAAAATGCAGGACGGTCCAAAACTGTTTTTGTGTTTGTATGCAAGCATATCCCAGTTACTATCTCAGTTTGGTAAATTTTTGGTAAGCATAAAGCAAACAGCAAGTCACAGAAGCAGTAAGGTTAGATAAGACCACAAAGGTTATCTACTTCAACCATCAACCCATCACCACTGCGCCCACTAAATCACATCTCTAGGTACCACATCTACCCTGTTCTTCAAAACCTCGAGGGACAGCAATCCCACTACTGCCCTGTACAATACCTGACCATTCTTTCTGGGATAAATTCTCTCCTAGTATTCAACTCAAACCTTCATTGCTGCAACATCAGCCTATCAAAAACCACTCAGTCTATCACTGTTACCTGGGAGGATGACTCCCACCTCACCACAGTCTCCTTTCAGGCACCTTTAGAGAACAATAAGGTCTCTCCTGATCCTCCTCTTCTATGATTGAAGAAACTCAGTTCCCCCCACTGCTCTCTACTAGATTTGTGCTCCAGACCCTTTCATAGCTTCACTGCCCTTCTCTGGATGCAGTCCAGGACCTCAATGTCTTTCCTGCAGGGACTGAGCACAGTACTCAAGGTGAGGCCTCACCAGTGCTGAGTACAGAGGAACTGTAGCAATAACAAGTCACTGCAGTCACTTCTGAAGCACATTAGTAATAAACACAATAGTCAGGAATCGGTTTGGTAAGCCTTACGTTCAGGACAACAATGCTTTACAGAGAAGTCTAACAACAGAAGAAAGGGGTTTACCTTAAAGTAACTGAAATCAAAGATGATATCTCCATACTTCTGTTGATCAGCCTTGTCCTTCAGCCTGAAAACCCCAGGGATAAATTCGGAAAGTCTTAAGAGCTCTGCAATGATAGCATTTCCACAAGAGACAATCCGAAGAATTGCCTGACCACAGAGGTTATTTTCAGCAAGAAAATCCACCATCGTGGAGCTGGATGTGAACACGCAGCACAAGTCCTGCTGCCTGTTTTTGACCACCCGCTTTTAGGTCGTTTGACGAAGAAATCCTAATGAGAAAACGGGCTGCTCCATCAACAGCACCTGCAGAAACAGAAGCAGGCACATTCAACTCCCGAGGGACACTGCCTAGGGGGCGTGTGAAGGGTCAGCGATGGGATTAAATGTTCTCAGCAGTCTTTTCCAACCTGAATGACTCTACAATACTTCTGACACTACGCAGATTTTTAAGCGCACACCTACATCTTTCACAGAGCCACAGAACTGTAGGTTCTGGAAAGGACTTCCAGAGAACATCGAGTCCGGTCCCTGCAAAGCAGGCCAATAAACTGCAAATGCAGCATTTAAAGCGCTCGGTAAAACCAAAAGCACCGCGTTCCTCCCCAGCACGCACACGGTGCTCGACGCGCTCGCCCGCGCCGGCCGCCGCTACGAACGCAGCGCGGGGCGCTCTGAGCCGCAGCCCCACACGCCCAGCCGTGCCGCCAGGCCCTGAGCTCCGCCGCCGCCCGAGGCCCAGCTCTCTCTCGCCGCCTCAACCCAACCGCGAGCCCCAGCGACGCGCCTGCTCACCGCGCCCCGCCGCGAGGCAGCGAGGAGAGCTCGGAGGGCCGCCCGAAGGGAGCGGCGGCGGCAGCAGGTGAGCGCGGGCGGGCGGCGGTACGGCTCTGCGGTACGGCTCTGCCCCATCACGTGACGGCGCCGTCAGCAAAGGCGCGGGTTGATGAGGCGGTTCCGCCGGTCGCCCCGCCCCGCTGCCTCTGTCGGGCCTCGGCGGCGGGGACGAGGTGAGCTGCCGGGGCGGCGCGGGGGGCCCGGCGCCCGGTTTGGGGCCGGGGGGGTGAAGGGAAGGGCTGGGAAGCGAGGCTGGCTGCCGCTTCTCTCGGGCGCTGTGTGAGGCACCCTGTGGTACGCGGTCAGCCGTGCGTCCGGAGCAGCGCTGCTGCCGGAGGTCGGCGCTCACGGGGTCGTACGGTTGGAAGGGAGCTCTGGAGACCATCCGGTCCAGCCCCCTGCTAAAGCAGGCTCATACAGTAGTTTGCACAACGAAACCTCCTGATGGGTTTTCAGTGTGTCCACAAAAAGAGATTCTACAACCCCTTTGGGCAGCCCGCGCCAGTGCTCTGTCACCCTCACAGTAACAGAGTTTTTGTGCATGTGTGTTCTATGAAACTCGCTGTGTTCCAGTTTGTGCCTGTTGCCCCGTGCCCTGTCAGTGGGCACTGTTGAAAAGCACCTGGGATATTCGCCTTCGTCTCTGCTGCTGGTTTTGGAGGTTGAAACACAGGGAAATTGGGTCATTTGCTCACGTGTCAAGTCACAGAATATGAGCTGTAACTTCAGGTTCTGCTTAGCAATCCAATCTGGACTATACCTACCCTGTGAAGACAGGCTGAGGGAGCTGGGCTTGTTCAGCCTGGAGAACAGAAGGCTGCAAGGAGACCTCGTTACAGCCTTCCTGTATTTAAAAGGTGATTAAACAGGAGGGGAATCAACTTCTTACTCTGGTAGACAGAGATAGGACGAGGGGGAACGGTATTAAGCTCAAGGAAGGAAGGTTTAGATTGGATGTCAGAGAAGGTGTTTGCAGTAGGAGTGGTGAGGTGTTGGCACAGGCTGCTCAGAGAGGCTGTGGATGCTCCAGCCCTGGAGGTCTTCAAGACCAGGTTGGGTCGGGCCCTCAGCAGCCGGATCTAGTGCCAGATATGGAAGATGGAGGTTGGTTGCCCTGCCTGTGGCAGGGGGTTGGACTTGATGATCCTTAGTGTCTCTTCCTTCCCAAGCCATTCTATGATTCTGTGATTCTATGACTATTGGATGTTTTTTTTTTTTTTTGTCAAAAAAAAAAAAAAACAAAAAACAACTGCCTTTCTACTCTCACTTGGTCTCTTTTTCAGATAAGTTTGCCTCATTATATTTTCCAGAAGTGAGGTGTAAACAGCAACAACAGAGTTGTCTGAGTGTACTTAAATTGCCTTCCAAAAGTCGATTTGAGATGTCTACGCAGTGGTTTGATATAGCAATGTGAATGACAGCTGCAGCTCCCATATAGTTTGGTCAGTGCTTCCATAAATATGAAGAGAATGAAGAGGCCTGTTTAATTTTTCACTTCTTTGTTGTTTTTTTGTTTGTTTGGTTTTTTTTTTCTTCTTTTTTTTTTCAGATTCTTGTATTTCAGGGCTTACCTGTGAAATTTCCCAAGAGAACAGCAAGTTTGCTCAATTAGTGAGATTTACCATGTTTGGGAAGTGAATTTGATTCTTGCCATTAGCTGTGATGCACTAAATGTGCCCAGAAGGATAAAGCTGCTAACATGATTTTGTGGAGCAATTTAACTGCGTATAAAGTTTGGATCATAGGGATTCTTACAGTTTCAATATGATGGCAAACAACTACTTAAAAAAGTTAACCGTAACAGCTTAAAGCATTCATTATTAAATATTAAGAGCATTTCTGATTTAACTTTCAAAGAGGTCTGTAAGGGACTTTTTGCATGTCACCTGCTGTCAATTTGACAGTCTCTAAAGATCTCTGAAGACAACAATTGCTGTCTTTTGACAGGGAGAGCATGAGCTGAGCCAGCTGGAGCAAGTGTTGAAGCCTTCTGCCTCCTGTCTGGCAAGATGCTTGTTTAGAAAGGAGAGAGGGGAAATCAGTCATATGTAATGTAAAGTTCAAGGTATGCTGAATGTGATCTATCAGTATTAATTAAAAGTTATTGTATACCCATGACCTAAAAACGGGGTCATAAATGACAGTCTTGAGTAGCCAAGCACATTTTTGAAGCAGAGAAAAAGATGTGGAAGAAAACGTTGGAAGAGAAGACAAAGTGACAGCGGGTGTTCAGGTCTTATAATCTGCATGATCATGAGGAAGATGGCAATGTTGTTCACGTTAGGATGAGTGCAAGAGTTAGTTATGGAATCTCAGAGTAAGTAGTAGAGGGAGATGCAAGTATAAAAAGCTTGGGCAAAGCTTTGTCCTTTCTATTTTGACATTTTGGATAGTTCTGTTGGATTTTGGCCTTTCAAAGGCTATTGTTGATACAGCAGCTCATCCTCTTGTCATTTTGTGTACCATTTTGATAAAATTTCTACTATAAATCAATTTTGGTTATGGATTCTTTTCTCTCCCTACTCCCCAATATGATCTCAGAGTAATTGTTGAAAATCCTAGTTATTATTTATATAAACTAATGGAGTATTTCTGTCTGTACAAGACTTTCTTTTATAAATAATTCAGTGTTTGAAGCTTAGCAGAATTTCTTATCTCCTGGAACATAAAGTATAAAACTCTATACACAAAATCCTTGTTTCTTAGAAAACCTACATATTATCCAAGCAAGTTATGGTAAAGCACAGAGAAGAAAGAGCAGAAGCTGAAATGTTTGGGATGAAACCGCCAGCTGATGTAAACATTGCAGGCAAGGATAGAGTAAGCAAACCCACTTGAAAGTTGTGCTCACAGCAGAGGAGAAGCAGTTAATCTCAGGTTATGGGTCTGTACCAGAGAGGACAGTGGTAAGAAAGACAAACATGATTCTTCTGTGACCCAGCGCTGTGCCAGTGGAACATTGCTTCTAACAACAAAGTTTGTGACAACTTTGGGGAAAGAGGCACCACTAGTTAGGTGGTTTAGTTAGTTTATTTCAAAATTAGGCAAGATGATTTACTGTTAAACACATTGTTAGAGCAGGTGCCCGTTTTTTTATTTTTTCCAAGCAATAGCTGTTGTAACAAGCTTGTAGTTGGAGAGGCTGAATTTGATGTGAGAAGTCACAGTTCTTGTTAGCCTAGCTGATAATGTGTCTAGAATACAGGCAAACTTTTGGGCACATGGACTTTTTTTGGATCTGAAATTGAGCAGTAACTTTCAAGCTAACGTCATCTATGAGGTTTTGAGGTATAGAAATAAGCAGCTGACAACTGCAAGTTGCTTTTTGTGGTGTAGCTGAGCTTAACATTGAATAAGAAGGAAATAAAAAACTTCTGGTGAATTGAAGTACCACTTACACTTAGGACAAGGGGAATGGTTTTAAACTGAGGCAGGGGAGGTTTAGGTTAGATATTAGGAGGAAGTTTTTCACCCAGAGGGTGGTGGGGCACTGGAACAGGTTGCCCAAGGAGGCTGTGGATGCCCCATCCCTGGAGGCATTCAAGGCCAGGCTGGATGTGGCTCTGGGCAGCCTGGTCTGCTGGTTGGTGACCCTGCACACAGCAGGGGGGTTGAAACTAGATGGCCATTGTGGTCCTTTTCAAGCCAGGCCATTCTGTGATTCATCCCTGCTCTCTGGTGTTTCAGTGGTCCTTTTAACAGTGCTTAATGGTTAGCTATCTGCAATTTGGTTTTCTCCCACAAATTCTTTGGGTGTAAACTGTATTCAAAATGTTTTGTCTCTTATTTCTAGAGTAACAAGTCCAAGATGCAGAGGGGTACAAGAATCTCATTCAGCTCTGTGAATTCCTCTCTCTCATCTCTGAGAAACTGTCAGTCTTACATAAATACTGGAATGGATATTGCTACCCACGTTGCCCTTGACCTGGTGGAAAATTTCAGTAAGTAATTCCCCTGAGTATATTCTTTTGTATTGCATCCTGAATTAATCCCGGGCCCGCATACTTTGATTTATTTATAATCATCTGTCTTCACTGTGGGATCTGTTGCTCTTCTGGTTTTACAGTGTTTTCATTCCAGTCACCTAATTGTCTTCAATAACAAATTTGATGAAAATAGAAATACCAAGCAAACATTGTTTCAGCTTTTGTAACACCCAAGACTAATTACATTCCAATGCTCCTTATCTTACTACTTTGTAAAAACTTCAATATTGCTGAACAAGATGTAGAAGACCTCTTAGGGTGAATAAAATGAACTTTCTTTCTAATACAACCTCTTTGTGTGTGTTTTATTTAACGTTCAGGGCAAGACTTTAAAAATGCTAATAATTCTGAGTGCAGAGCTTGAGACACTTGTTAAAGGATGCAATTTTTTAAAATGCTGTTTGTTTCCCTGCTGAGAAACAGGCTCTTCAAGGGTGCTTCAATTTGGACATATACCAAGAGGAGTACCTTAAATCTCTCATCTCTTCTAACGGTCTGGTCATTGCTATTTCACAGTAGCAGATGCAGTGCAAAGCTACTTTTCAACGACCAATATTGTCTTTGAATACCTCCTGTTTCTCTCGTTAGATTTATGATAATGTCTTCACTGGGGAGAAAGAGGAGAAAAAAAAGGTAAAACCTTAAAGCTCCCAATCTCAAAAACCTTTAATCATGATTGTAGTGTGAGAGTCCTCAAAGAAAATAATAGTTATTCATTAAAATCTTTCATTCAACTGAGCCAAGGTTTACGTACAGTCAGAATGAATGCTTCTTTGTCTAGTGTGAGAGTTCTCTCTCCTCTTGCCTTTTTATCCATATTGCTATCAGAGGCAATTGATGTGCTGTTTCCAAATGGGAACTTGGCTTAACAGTCAGCTGGGGATTCCCTTTGCAGTAAAACGGGTATAGCCAGTTCTGTCTCTCTTTGCTTGTGCAGCCACCTTCTCTCCTACTTTGCCTTAAGCTTCAGTATCCATTGCATTCACATTTGGAGGGGTGAAGGGCAACTTAAGCTTCACAGTGCACCTTTGCTCTGAAGGTCTGTGCATTACACTCCTAGTAAATTTCAATTGTCTGTCATGCATTTCCCACGTGTGAGTCCTCAGTTACAGCCTTGAAGTTATGTTGCCCACTTCATTCAGGAACCAGAAGGGCTTTACTTAATACATTGTCTAGAGGTAAAATTATTCTTGATGCAAGTAGTATGGTCATTGTTACTGTTGAATTAGATCGTGCGACTGGAAAACAGCTTCTAGATTGTAACATTGATTTTATTTTAGCAGGGGAAGCATCCTGTAGAATCTAGGATTGCGAGGTTATAGGGTTATAAAATAAGTCCTCCTAACGTTTTGATGTTGTTGAACATAGTCCATCCCATTCTCTACAGTAAAGCTACTACAGACTTGTTTTTGAAGTTTAAAGACTGTATAGTTTGAATATGGCCTGGTGTTATGATGTTAATTTTTCACTTACAGTGATTGTGGTCTTCACTCCTTTTCTTAGCTAATTTATGTGCATGTGAACATGGAACAAGCAAATAAGCAAAGCTCCCTCGCTTCTCTTTTACAATGTTTGATTTTTACTCCCTTGACTTTGGGAAGTCATCTTCATCTCCTCCTCTTGGGCTTCATTTCCTTTTGTTTATACAGTGCCATCAGGAAATACACAAAGTTGCTATGGTATGACATACTTTTAGTAAATACACACTGTGGTATTTCGGATATTTTTTGGTTGTGGTTTTTTTTTTTGGTGGTTTTAAGTTAGCATCATCTGGTCTGCTAAACTTGCTGTTAAGCTCTTGTGTTCAGCTGATTAACATGGGACAAGCTCTATCTCCATAAAACTGTAACCCTCCTACCCTGCTTAGCCTTCTTATTTTGAGGCAAAGTATTCATTTAATTTTGAAACAGCTTTTGATAATATATTTCTGCATTCTTGTTCCTCTCCTGTTTGCAGTTCAATTTCCAGCTTCTGACACGTTCATTGCTAGGCTCCGTAGTAGCAAAGAATTCTGTTGTGATTATTGTTTTATTTTAGAAGCATTGCTGCTGCAAAGGTATCTTGTTCCTTTGGAACTTCACCTTACACGGCTACTTTCTGGGAGTAGCGCTGGGCTAAAATTGTCTTAGGAAGGACATGAGAGAAGTTGGATTTACATGTGAAGGCATGCAGAGTTTGTGCAGTAAGTGCTGCCTGTTTCTTCTCTTAACTGCTACTATCCAAGAGCCTGATTCTGAAATCATTTACTGGTAAGCATACTTACTAAATAAAACACAGTAATGTTTGCTGGACTGGCCTGTGTTTAATGAAGGGGCCTCCCATAAGTGCACCAGCTAGTAAATTAGGTTGTTTTGATTTGTTTTGTTTTTTCAGGATCTGGAATCTCTTTTCTCTCCTAGATTATAGTAGTGGATTTGCTTTGGCGTTGTATTTGAGATGATCTGTAGGGAGCAAACACAACAAATCTTCCCCCCCCCCCCCCTAAAAAAAAATAAAAATTGAAGGATGATTCATGAGCCTTCAGAGCTCTAGAAGAAAAAATAATATAAAGAAGAAATATAAATTAACGAGCACAAATTTTCTTGGACATATTTTAAGTGTTTACATCTTATGCCAATTTGAAGAGTGTTTCCCTGTTAAGTAAAAATATCTTTCTGCATTTTAACCCTGTCGGGCTGGAGAATGCTATTTACTTCCTGACATGCTTATTGAGAAAGCATAACGAGAATTCTTCTGAAGAATGTAGAAAGAAAAACTTGGTGTTTCAGAACATCTGTATGCGCGTGAGTTACAAAGCAGCCACGACTGCTCAGGTGGAGTGAAAATCAAAGCTCACTAGGGGGCAGGCGAAGATAGGAAGTAAGCAGCACTGCCATTAACATTTCAAAAAGCACTGAAAAGAAATTCTCTTCTTTCCCTCTCTGTTGATTTGGCCATGATCCTTGAGCAGCCTCAAGCCCTCTCCAGTTAAACCATCCAGAGAACAAAGAACCCTTCTTACAGTGGCTATGGAAGCTATAAACCCCCTCAGAACAATTGTGAACTTAAGCTATTGAAACAGATGGTGGTAGTGTTAGGTGGAACAAAGGAGTAAATCTGCTTCTTAGCTCATGAAGCCCACAGGGTTGCTGATAGGAAGAGATGCCAACTTGGGGGCAAGAATTGACTCAGGATATTCCAAGATTTATAGTAGCCTTGTAACCTACAGTAACCTTTCTTCAGAGGACCTCAGATGTTTTGCAAGCACAGGCAAAGCCTCTCAGCTATTCGGGAGGTAAACTGTAGTCCCAGGGATTAGTCTGCAATTGTTGAAACGAAAATCTTTTGGGTGAATAAAGACTGCTGTGTAGACTGCTTAATAATCCAGAAGGGAGAAAGTTTTCCTCTAGCTAATTTAAAAGAGCAGGAAAAAACAACTGGAAAATATAGAGGAGTTTTGAGTTGGATGTCAGGGACATCAGATTAAAATTGCTTACTCGTGGATAAAGACAATAGGATTTTAATGCCTTTATGTTGACATGTGCTTTGAAAGTTTCAGAACAAAATCAGGCACTGGGTTTACATTTGAATAGAAATTTCCTTTGGAGAATTCCACCTATTGAAATGAACTTAGCTTTTTTCTTAGCATCATATTTCCCTTAAGGAAGCTGCCATCTTCCTTCCTACTGACTCACTTCAGTCCTTCTGAAATGGATTTTATCTGTTACTGGATGAAGGTGGCATGGCTGCAAGCCAGTGTACATACTGATGCTATGTTGCTGTAGTTGAACTTAGTCTCAAAGATGTAATAAAAGCTGCAATAAATATCAGTGTGAGAAATCTAGAAAAAGAGGGAATCAGTTTAACTGATAGAAATAACAGCTGAAATGACTTTGAAGATATAAAGATTTGTAGCATTTCATCATGTTTCTACATTTTGAACTGTGAGACAGCATGTGCCAGTTAATCTAATCCTCTGCATACTGGGATGTGTTAATTTTCCTTCTTTCTGCAAAATAATAACCCTAATAAAAACAATGTTTACCCGTTCCACAGGAATATTGGAAGGATTTAATATCCCAAATTTCTAAGCAGTTTCAGTCATCTCATTTGTGTGATTGTTTTGACATTTGCTTGCAGTCCGCAGTTGTAAGTTGAAGCTGATTTCTGTCCATTTAATCATTTATATTGTCTAAAAATCATAGTTTTCTCCTTTTTTCAAAAATAGCCTTGTGTTATGCAAGTGTTTTAAAATGTTGCTACATAAAAGGCCATGTAAGCAGTGAAACAAGCTGCACAGACTCGGTTTAAGTGTGTCCTTTCTGTACTCAAAATACTTTTGGTTTTTCTGTGGTCCGGTCCAGCACAAGACCAAAGGAAAGAAATTTCCTTCAAATTTCAGAGGGATCTGCGCATTTTAAAGCTTAAGCACATTCTCACACCTTTGGGAATTTGAAGGTAGCATTATTTGCATTTGCAACTGATTTCTGACAAAATCATCTAAGCTCTGTAATTTACATATTTTAAAATTTAACCTCAATCTGTTGTTTGAGCTGTCTGTATGTGATTGTGATTGAAAAAAGCCCCCTCTTAACACCTCTGCACACAACAGCTATTTGCACTGCTTGATGCACTTCTGTAAATGGCTGAACTGTCTTTACCTAAACTCGAAATCTTCTCTAGAGGTAGAAAGGGCATCCATGTGAAACACTGGATATAAGCAAATATAAGGATATAAGTAGAAGTCTTTTTCTCTGTTTTTTTTTTTTTTTTTTTTTTAAATGGTATAACATGCCATACATATTGTCTGATGTGCTGATCATGATATGAATGCTGTGCATGACAAATGAATGATAAGTGCGTGACAAAGACAGACATCCATTCCCAGTTCTGCTCGGAGGATTTGGGTGGGAATTCTGCCAGTTTGCTGAGGATGGTGTTTTATTTGTCTCTTTGAAAGCAGGAGAACTTTCTCA